CTCCAAGATATTCCCAAATAAAGACCTCAAAATCTTAAGACAGTGTGTTTCAGTCAGAGACAAACTGCTTCAAAAGAAATACGAGGAACACAAGGTAAATGTGCATATTCACTATTACAAAAATACAAATGAAAATTCGAAATATTCCCTGGTTGTAATCAACATGAGTCCATAAAAGCTGTGTGAATAATAATTGTAAAACAGTTTTAGATGGAGTGTAACATTTCAAACCAGGATATGTCAACATATATATGAATTTGAGTGCAGACTCAACAAACAGCAGCTGTCATTGCATATTCCAAAAATTGATTTCTTATTCAATAACCTGGGATTTGTCTCCCTCTACAGGTGAATTACAGTGATAACGTCCAGCGGGACCTCTTGGATGCACTTCTGAGGGCCAAACGCAGCTCAGAGAATAACAACACCAGCACTCATGATGTTGGTTTAACAGAAGACCGCGTGCTCAGGACTGTAGGGGACATCTTCGGGGCTGGGGTGGAAATCACTACCACTGTACTGAAATGGTCAATAGCTTACCTTGTCCATAACCCACCAGTAAATAAAGCTGCTCACGACTGGCTTTACTGAATCAGTCACAGTTTTCTTGTAATGAAACTTAGTATATATTCTTTGCATTTGACATTAGGTGCAGAGAAAGGTTCAGCAGGAGCTGGACAATAAGATTGGAAAAGACAGACACCCTCAGCTCAGTGACCGAGGGAATTTGCCCTATCTAGAGGCCACTATAAGAGAGGTTCTGAGGATCCGACCTGTCTCCCCACTTCTCATCCCTCATGTGGCGCTCCAAGACACCAGGTAAGATTTAAAAAAACAAACAAACAAACAAATATATATTTATTTTATTTAGCAAGGATGCATTCAATTGTTTAAAAGTGAAAGAAAAGACATAATGGTACAAAACGACATCAATAACAATAAGAAATGTTTTGTGAGCAGCAAATCAGCATATTAGAATGATTTCTGAAGGATCACGTGACACTGAAGACTGGAGTAATGATGCTGAAAATTCAGCTTTGCATCATAGGAATAAATGACATTTTAAGATGTATTCAAATAGATTTTTAAAAAATCTATTGTAATATTTCACAATATTATTGTGTACTGTATTTTTGATCAAATAAATGCAGCCTTGATGAGCATAAGAGACTTCTTTCAAAAATGTTAAAATATCTTACTGACCTCAAACTTTTGAATATCATTACATTTTATTTATTCTTTAATTATTTGCTATTTAATTTTGAGCTTTAGTGCTCATTGCTTGAAAAAAGCACCGAAATTAGGGTTTTAAACTTCCAAATTTGAGGGTTGCCAAAATGTCAATAGTTCATATAAAATACTGTCCAGTCGTGATGTCTTCTCTGCTCTCTTTGACAGCGTGGGAGAATACACTGTGCAGAAAGGAACCCGAGTCATTATTAACCCGTGGTCTTAACATCACGATGAGAAGGAATGGAAGAATCCTGAGCTGTTTGACCCAGGTGAGGATCTGCAGTGATAACAAAAGTTCATCTGAATCTGTGAACATTACCAAATACACTGAATCCTCTAATCCGATAGGACGATTTCTGAATGAGGAGGGTGATGGTTTGTGCTGCCCATCGGCCAGCTATCTGCCATTTGGCGCAGGGGTGCGAGTTTGTCTCGGCGAGGCCCTGGCAAAGATGGAACTCTTCCTCTTCCTGTCATGGATTTTGCAAAAGTTCACGATGCCCACTGGTCAGCCTCTGTCTGATCTCCAGGACAAGTTTGGTGTGGTTCTTCAACACAAGAAATTTAAAGTCATTGCCAAACTAAGAGCAGACTGGGAAAAAAATCCCACTAATGCAGCAATGTTGGGTAAATATATTATGTGTGTCTTTTGTACTCTCGAGACGTTTGTGAGAGAATTTGTTTTTATGAAGCCTGCAATCAAATATCACAAATCAAACATGAATAAAATGAATATCTTGAGACAGTGTAACTCCATGATCAACATTAACTGAATAGAGTGCAACAGTCAGGTTCTGGAGATAAAAATCTCATTTATTTTCTCCATGGGAAATTGACTTTTAAATGAATTGTTAATCGATGGTATATGCCTTTGCTGAAGTCATTAGTCTGTATTATTTCAACTAATTGTTTAATCATGGAATTCCAGATGAAAAACTACATTACCCAGAATTCTGCAAAGAAATCTCCACCAGAGAATTAAAACAAACAAAAAAAGAACACTTTAGCTCCCACCCACTCCCATGAAGCACTACAAATGACTTCTCAAATACTTAAATATAAATGCATATTTATATGCATACTTTACAATAAATGTAAATATATGTCTTCTATACACAATCAAGATCTTTAAATCAAGTTATTTCCCCACCATTTTTTAGTAATGTCAAGTTATTCTTTCCCTCAATAAAGCTGTCAAGTACAGTCTTGAACATTTATCTTTTTGTCCAATTTTCTTTTTTCTCTCTTTTGCTTCAAATCAAAGTTTGTGATGCTGTGATTCATCTAGTCTTTAACAAGAACTTTTTATAAATCCCTATGGGGAAAAAATGAATAAGAAAAATACTTTCAGAACAAAGGTTCCTGAAGAAGGCAGGCACTGTCATTTTGGATGCGTAATGTAATAACTCACAGAAATCTTGGCTTTAACAGCTTTTTTTTTATTCATACAGAACATTCTTTGATACTCATTAATTTGGTTGAGTCTTCTTATAAAATGCGGAAAATACAGTTTTATATATAAAAAGAAAGTGACTATGGATACAAAACTAAAACGTAGTACCAGGCTGGAATTAAAGCTTAAGGGAAAAAAAAGCAATTGGCTTGCAAAGCCTTCGTCGTCTTCAAGCACACAAACACACTCACTGCTCAGTGTCAAAACAGTGCAGACAACTTTTTCAGACAAAACGAATGATCACATCTCATTCACAGTGAGCTACCCAACATAGTGACTCAAATTTCCACTTTTAATCAATACCTTTGGTCTCAAACATCAACGGACGATAGAAAACAATGTTGACTAGAGCGACATGAAGGAACGACATGAGCACCATTACTGCGACAGATGACTTGTTCTCCTTACTGTTTACGTAGCTTCAAGCTTTCACTTAATCGGTCAAATGTTATGATGCTATAACTGGTCCAAATCATTTCAAATGCTCAATATTAGGTTTAGCCAAACAATACTGCTACATAAATATTTCTGAAGGCACTATGTCAATGTTGGAATCTGCCTCCCAAACCGGTTTTTGCAGCCAACACACTAGGAACCTAAATTACAAGCCACATCACATTTGAAAGAAAATTAGCCACCATTTACACAGAAACACTCTGATCTGAAGATCAACAGGGCTGAAAAGCCATCTGTGCCCAAGCTAAGACTATTATAGGACAGCTAACTGCTAATCCAAACCAAAGGTCAAACAAACACAGTGGGCTGAAAAACGATCCACTTAAAGAAACCTACAATGACACACACACACACTCACGCAAACACACACGTCTGGTTTGCTATCCTTGTGGGGACTCTCCATAGGCGTAATGCTTTTTTTACTGTACAGACCGTATTTTCTATTGCCCTACACCTAAACCTACCCCTCACAGGAAACTTTGTGCATTTTTGATTTTCAAAAATCTTCATTCTGTGTGATTTATTAGCTTGTTTCCCCGTGGGGACCTCAATTTAGGTCCCCACCGTGACACGAGTCCCCATGAGTCTGTGTGTATTCAGGTTTAAGTCCCCACCAGAATAGAAAAACAGGTACACACACACACACACACACAGTGTAGGGAATGCAGTGGAGCAGCTTTGGACAGTCTCACCGCCACAGAAAAACAAATGAACCCGACATAAGTGCTACACTAACATGACAGTAACCTTACCTGATCTGCTACAATAAAATGCAAATTAAAAGCTTAATAAGGCCTATACATAAGTTACTGTTAGTGGTGCAAGAGTTCCATTACAGTGTTAAAGATACAAAAACAACTTAAAAGCACTATGGGAGAATAAATAAATTTCATATTTAAATGATATGTTTCGATGGAAGGCTTATCAAGTGATCCTTTTAAACAAGATGTTACCATTGATCAAAATTTTCACTCATACTGGCCCATAATTATTTTATGCAGAAATTCTACAACACACAATCTTCTCTTTAAGGCATATGAAAACTACTCAAATCAACAAAGGCACCTAGTGTAAATATACAAGCTGGGTTCAGTCTATACAAAGGTATTTTCAGCTTTCATTTAAAGAGTCTTTGCACAATGAACTTCAAAATGTACTACTATATCGCATGTGGATCTATTAAGTTTATGCAAATAATCATGCAAAAAATTGGATAAAGCCCGAGACCATGTTATACAACGATGAGACAAACCAAACCAAATGGCAACCATATCCTGCTAGGTAGGGAGCATGGTCACTTATTGATACAAAAAGACAAAACATACATATTTGAGATAATTACTTTCCTTCATTTTTCTGAATAGCATCATGTAGCTACTCCAGACCAAACATTTTTGGAAAAAAAAGACAAGAAATAAAAACAAGAAACAACAACTGAATATTAAAGCTCTGAAGTATTAGCAGACTTCTCTGTGGCTATCTTTTCCTTTTTTTGTGCATAATATATAATCGATAATTCACCAAAAAAAATGCTAATTCTGTTATGAATTACTCAGCTTCATTTAATTTCAAACTTATAAGACTTTTGATTTCCTTTTAAACAAAAATAAAGATACTTTTAATCAAACCTGCATAATTTTTGTACTTCCTTTGAAATGTATTTAAGCTTTTATTCACATATAAACACTGATCAAGGAACCCATAGAAACAACTGTACTTACTTGACGTGTAAGAAGAAATGTCACTGGTTCTCGTGCATCACGTTTGTTTCATCTTTTATTTACCACATTTGATGTGCTCTATGTAATGTATATGCATATGGATTTATTTTACAATCTTGAACTTTTTGAAGCATGAACTTTTAGTGGAATAAATTTTTTTAAATGGATCTCTCGGGTTTTATTAAAAATATCTTTGTGTTTTAAAGATAAACCAAAGTCTTGTGCGTTTGGAATGCCATGAGGGTGACTAAATAATGACAGATCTTTCATTTTTGGGTGAACTGTCCCTTTAAGTATTTTAAAATGTTATTAAAAGGTAAGAATTCAGGAACAAAAGCCAGCACAAATCAGTATCCCCCAACCTTGAGTGCCATCTTCATCTCAGGTGGAGGCAATCAGCCCTCAAAAACCAACAAAAAGCCTACAGGCATGTCACTCAGAGCTCGATAAGGCTATAAACTGGGAAGAATTTCCCCTGTGGCTTTGATTATGACCTCCCTGTGAGGCAACAGACCTATTAACGTCTTTACTAGATTACCCTATTAATCCATAAAAACCGTAAGGACTCACACATTAACGCCCTTTTAAAACGCTCTCTCACTCTCACACACACACCCAAAGTGACATTGCTGACAGTACAAACTGATGTATCTTGAGAAAGTAAAGGGAGACAGCAGTCTAAAGTAAGTCTCTGCTGGAACCAGTTGTGCTCAACTCTGGGGGTCCGTGTTATTGGCGTGATGTGGACCGTCCTGTTCGTTGATGGTGTGCAGATGGAGGCAGACTGGAGGTCGTTGATGCTCTCTTTGCTCTAGAGGCACATCTGAGGCAGCCAGGCCCTGTTCCTCATCCCCCGGACCACGAGGAGGGTGGCTGCTGCTGCGGGGGTTGCAGCTATCACAGAAGTCCTGCTGCTCGAGCACCCCTCCATCCATGTGCCCCACAAGCTCTTTCATCTCCTCCTCTTCCTCTCCATTCCCGGGCCCCTGGTTGCAAACGCATACCTCAATCCCAGAGTCACCTGTGAAGCGCCGGTGGCGTCCTGGAGTCTTTTCTTTGCTTTCGGGAGAACAGTCTTCTACGGGTTCAGTCAGATCCTCGCCGAAGCTGCCCTGTTTGACCGGGCTGTGTGAGGTAGCGCACGCCACCTGCTCGGGCTGCCCGTCCTCTTCTCGGCTGAGGTACTGTGGTTTGTGGGTGTTTCTGACAGGGCGGTGTACAGTGAGAGTACATGACTGCTCTACGCAGGGTCGCGGGGAACAGTTGTCAGATGCAGATGGGATGACGGGGCTGGACTCCAGTGGAGGGCAGAGCTCATCTGGTTGTTCAGAGCACAGGGGGTCAGTGCTGGTGGACTGGCCCGGCTGAGAGGCACTGTACGGAGGCGGGGGCGTCGGAGGTCTGTTCTCGACTTCCTCATATGCGGGTAAGAGGTAGCCAGGCAGGAACCCTGGAGAAGAGGACGAAGAAAGGCATTTATTGACTGACCATGACTAAAGCAAACATTTTTTCTAAGGAGCAATGAAAAGATCTAGTAGTTATATGAAAGGTTATAGAACCTTTAACATAATCTTTCCAATCACCCTATTTCTTCAGCAGCACATTAGTGTTTGTATTTGTCTGATACAATGTCTGTGGTCAAAACTAAATTGCACCTTAGGAGATTAATTCATGTTGTATTGTATTGATTAGCGGTAGAACAACTGAATGAAGTGAGTACTGACTGAAATAAAAGGGTAGAGATGTGTAATTATGGGCTTCTCTGTAAGCGATGAGGTTGATCTCATGCTGCCGCTGCTGTTGTTGCAGTCTGTGTTTGGCTCGACGGTGGTGACACACACAGCAGCAGCCCAGAATGATGATGAGAGTCAGAACCAACCAAAACCCTGATGAAAGAGCACACACATAACACAGGACTGTTAATGAGTGAAGAGAACATCATGTCCCAACCAGGCACAGCACACCATAAATCACAACTCTTCCATATTAATCTGAGTTGTTGTCACCAGTGTTGCCTGACCAGACATTTTGTTAATTGCTTGGTTTCTAATGGTTTCATCATTGTGTCTTGTCTTAAAGCTCCACCCACAGTCAAATCTCATTAGTCTTAACATCTTGATTGGCTGCACGCGGTGTACGCAACTTGTGAAAACTTTGGGGTTGGTATGATTTTTTAAAAATGTTTTTGGAAAAAGTCTCTTATGCTCATTAAGACTGCATTTATAATATACACATTACAGTAACACAGTAGGCACAAAGTAAAAAAAATACAGTAAAAACAACAATATAGTGACACGGTATTACAATTTAAAATAACTTCCATATTTTAATATATTTTGCAATTCATTATATTCAAATATTTTGAATTCATTCCTGTGTTGGCATAGCCGAATTTTCAGCAGCCATTAATCCAGTCTTCAGTGTCACATGATCCTTCAGAAATCATTCTAATATGCTGATTTGCTGCAGCCTGCTCAAGAAACACTTCTTGGTATCAATGTTGAAAAGTTAAATATTTTTGTGGAAACTGTGATGCACTTTTTCAGGATTCTTTGAAGGATAGATCTTTCAAAGGAAGAGCATTTATTTGAAATAGAAATATTTTGTAGCAATGTAAATGTCTTTGTCACGTTTGATCATTTTTAAGTATCCGTGCTGAATAAAAGTATTAATTTCTTTAAAAACAAAACAAAATAAAACAAATGTTTCTGACAGGGCGGTGTACAGTGAGAGTACATGACTGCTCTACGCAGGGTCGCGGGGAACAGTTGTCAGATGCAGATGGGATGACGGGGCTGGACTCCAGTGGAGGGCAGAGCTCATCTGGTTGTTCAGAGCACAGGGGGTCAGTGCTGGTGGACTGGCCCGGCTGAGAGGCACTGTACGGAGGCGGGGGCGTCGGAGGTCTGTTCTCGACTTCCTCATATGCGGGTAAGAGGTAGCCAGGCAGGAACCCTGGAGAAGAGGACGAAGAAAGGCATTTATTGACTGACCATGACTAAAGCAAACATTTTTTCTAAGGAGCAATGAAAAGATCTAGTAGTTATATGAAAGGTTATAGAACCTTTAACATAATCTTTCCAATCACCCTATTTCTTCAGCAGCACATTAGTGTTTGTATTTGTCTGATACAATGTCTGTGGTCAAAACTAAATTGCACCTTAGGAGATTAATTCATGTTGTATTGTATTGATTAGCGGTAGAACAACTGAATGAAGTGAGTACTGACTGAAATAAAAGGGTAGAGATGTGTAATTATGGGCTTCTCTGTAAGCGATGAGGTTGATCTCATGCTGCCGCTGCTGTTGTTGCAGTCTGTGTTTGGCTCGACGGTGGTGACACACACAGCAGCAGCCCAGAATGATGATGAGAGTCAGAACCAACCAAAACCCTGATGAAAGAGCACACACATAACACAGGACTGTTAATGAGTGAAGAGAACATCATGTCCCAACCAGGCACAGCACACCATAAATCACAACTCTTCCATATTAATCTGAGTTGTTGTCACCAGTGTTGCCTGACCAGACATTTTGTTAATTGCTTGGTTTCTAATGGTTTCATCATTGTGTCTTGTCTTAAAGCTCCACCCACAGTCAAATCTCATTAGTCTTAACATCTTGATTGGCTGCACGCGGTGTACGCAACTTGTGAAAACTTTGGGGTTGGTATGATTTTTTAAAAATGTTTTTGGAAAAAGTCTCTTATGCTCATTAAGACTGCATTTATAATATACACATTACAGTAACACAGTAGGCACAAAGTAAAAAAAATACAGTAAAAACAACAATATAGTGACACGGTATTACAATTTAAAATAACTTCCATATTTTAATATATTTTGCAATTCATTATATTCAAATATTTTGAATTCATTCCTGTGTTGGCATAGCCGAATTTTCAGCAGCCATTAATCCAGTCTTCAGTGTCACATGATCCTTCAGAAATCATTCTAATATGCTGATTTGCTGCAGCCTGCTCAAGAAACACTTCTTGGTATCAATGTTGAAAAGTTAAATATTTTTGTGGAAACTGTGATGCACTTTTTCAGGATTCTTTGAAGGATAGATCTTTCAAAGGAAGAGCATTTATTTGAAATAGAAATATTTTGTAGCAATGTAAATGTCTTTGTCACGTTTGATCATTTTTAAGTATCCGTGCTGAATAAAAGTATTAATTTCTTTAAAAACAAAACAAAATAAAACAAAACAAAAAAAAGTCTACAAAACACTTCCATACAGAAATGTCTTCTCCTAAAACAACCTAACAATCTGGCACCAGATCACAGGAGAAGAATGTACTGGACATTAGGGTGTGACGCTCATCAGCCAACGGTTAGAGTGGTGCGGGTCAATGTCATGTGAGATCCAAGTGTGTGAAACTTTGCCCCAAATAAAGCAGAGACCTTTTCTGGACGACGGGGGGGGTCCACTTTTCCTAATAGAGAAATTTAAGGCAGCTGTTTACAGGGACTGGTCTGATCCGGTTACACTGGATTTGTGTCTGTCCGGGTCGCATGTATTTGGCACGTTGTACAAAACCCAAAGTGCAGCTCCTTGATGTCGCAGACGATGTGCTGTAATTACCGTGGAGATGAGATTAGTCCTCAGTTATTAAAATAGATGGTACACCAGAGGGAGAGGGGTAATTTGATAACACAGGAACACTGCCAACGGGTGTGAACAGGGCAGAACAACAACTAGATCAGGGCCAGCCAATGACATAAAACTTAGAAGCAACACACACATATCATACCCATATTTAAAACCAATGAAAGACGTTTAAAAAAGATTATATCTGCTGTACTGTGAGGTCACTTACATTTATGCTTCAAATTGCAGCAGATATAGTTCCAGTACGCTGCATGATTGAACACCTAAATCCCATTACTATTTACAGAAACAAAACAATTACAGTGTCAAACATGAGCCATGACTTGGATGTCTTTTCCCAAGGCATGCCGCCTCCTGTCCAACCCATAGCTGGCATCAGAAGCTAGGGCTGCTTATTGCAAACAACTTGAGAACAAAAGAAGGTGGCACGTTACACCCTAAATGTTATTACAACTGTATTTAAATGCTGAATCATTTCAAAGTTGAATGTAATCTCATTTAAAAAAATCTAGACATGCTGCCTTTTCCTTCAGAGTTTACAGTGTCCTGGAATTGTGACCACATCTAGGGAGATAAGTGTGTTATACACAAACCAGTATGCACTTGAAGTAACTACACACATATCCAAAGCAACTGAAGGATGTTTCAGACACTATAGAGAACATATACACACCATGGACTGACCTCATCTTACAGCATGTGTAGGCAGGAAGGACTTAGATACTTACACCACACCTCGTAGTAATAGCTGCAACACTGAGATTCTCCACAGCAGTGGCCCGAATCACAGAAATAGCTCTGGTTGTTCACTCCTACACAAGGCAGCCGGCTCTGCAAAACCAAACAGAAAATATAAGCATATTATCAGCACAGATTCGTGCACAAAAGGCTTGTTTATGACAAAAAAATTCAATTAAAAATAATCAAATTAAATTACATTTCAATGCAATATATAGCCAAAAGAATAAGTACAGTAATATATAAAGTAAATAAATGAAACCAACACAGTGACACTTTCTTTACACACAGGTGATAAAAAGCACATTAATACAATTGACAGGCAGATTGCAATGCAAATCTTTGAGTGAGCAGACTGCATGTCTAGCTATGTTTGCTAATTAAAATAATAAATAATAATGCTGATTCCTCTGCTCTCGTTTTACCTGTCTAAACCCCAGGAGAAAAGGCATGATAGCCGTCTGATCGGAAAATCAACACAGCAGAGACAGAGTTTTGTTACACACAGGGCTGCAAAGACCAAGGGAGTGACAGAAGAGGAAGGTCGGGCTCGGGCCACCCACCACCCACACATGGTACAGTGCGACATGAACTGCCCCCTTTATTAGCCAGAAGGGTTCAATTTAAACACACACACATACATACACAGCCTCCCTCAAGGCATTTTAGACTCAGCGAGGGCTGCCAGGGAATGCAAGTACACAGGATGAGCTGACAAGCGGTCCGTGCTTCTCTCTCATACACACAGACATCGATGACAACTGCTGGCCTGACAGTTGTCTCGAGTGTTGTGCTAGATACAAAGGACAGTGCAACTGAAATCTTGCTTGTTGAACAATAGTTTTAATATGAGAGTAAAAATGCTATCTCGATTGACTCTTTAGAGATGATGATCAGTGATATCAAGCACTAGAAAGCAAAAGTTTGAGTGTTCAGTGCTGCAAACCTGTGCAGGGTTGGACATAGTGCCAAGAAGTTCATAGAAGGAATGGCAACTGGCAGCAAATAGCTGAGTTAAAGGTTAATTAGTTAATTATTACACATTCCTGGTCTAATGTGCAACAGTAGGGTTCCAGAAGAAAAAAACACCATTCATTTTCTAAATAAAAAATACAGTTTTAGTGATAATTTAAGAAGCACTCAAAATGAATCAACCAGGTGTTCCAATGTTAAGTGAAGTTATATCAGATGCTTTTTAATTTACATCTACTAAACATATACATTTATCAGTTCATGCATTTCCTGAGAATTGAATCTGTAACCTTGGTGTTGGAAGCACCAATGCTCTACTCCACATATATGTTTGAGATATGAGCTTGACCAGGGTAATCCACACATTTATGCTATTTATAGAGCTTGTTTTAAATAGGGTTGCAAAGGGGTGGAAAATTCCCGGAAACTTTCCAAAAATCCCTGAAATATTCCAATTTACTGGAAATTTTCAATGTTTTTGCAACCCTAGTTTTAAACCTTTAATAGCAATTCACCCCAAAATGAATACATTTCATTTATTCACCCACATGTCATTTCAAACCTCTATGACTTTTTATTCTTCTGCTGAACATAGAAGATGTTGGCAACAAAAAAAACCACTGAGACATTTCTCAAGATATCTTTTGTGTTTCACAGAAGAAAGAAAGACACGGATTTAGAATGACATCAGGGTACAGTGTTTTGCCTTTGTTATCTCCTAATTTATAGTACAATCTTTATGCCTTTTTTTTTTTAATGTAAGGCAAGGCAAGTTTATTTATATAGCACATTTCATACACAATGGTAATTCAAAGTGCTTTACATAAAAGAAAGTAAAATAATCATTAAAAAAAATTATCAAAAATAAAACAAGGAATTTAAAAACGTTGAAGATGATTTAAAAATGTATTTAAAATGAATTTAAATAGAAAATGATTATACATAAAATACAGTGCAATCAGTTCGGACATCGCACAGTGCTCATTCAATAAATGCACAGCTAAACAGAGGAGTTTTGAGTCTAGATTTGAATGTGACTGTTTTAGCACATCTGATCTCTTCTGGAAGCTGATTCCAACTGCGGCCGTCATAATAGCTAAAAGCAGATTCCCCTTGTTTTGTGTGAACCCTTGGTATTTCTTACTGACTCGATCCTAATGATCTGAGTGGTCTGTTAGGTTTATATTAAGTGAGCATATCTGCAATGTATTTAGGTCCTAGGCCATTTAGTGATTTATAAACGAGTAAAAGTATTTTAAAATCAATCCTTAATGTAACTGGAAGCCAGTGTAAGGACCTGAGGACTGGTGTGTTATGCTCAGACTTTCTGGTTCTAGTCAGAATTCTGGCAGCAGCGTTCTGGATGAGCTGCAGCTGTCTAATGGCAACCCTCTACGGACACCTTGGCAATTGAATCGCCATTGGCTAGTACTTTTTTTTTTGTTTACTCGCCAGACTGAAATACTATACTAATATATATATATATATATATATATATATATATAAAGTTATGCCATTTTACAAACATATGTTTGTAAAATGGTACAGCTTTTTAAATATCTGAAAGTACACTCTTAATATCAGTCAGTCAAGCAGTCAAGCATTATAATATGATAATAAAGTATTATTTAATAATAGAAGTTTAGTAATTAGAATTAAAACTTGGTAACCATGAACTTAGGACTGGTGCTGGTGCTTTTTTTGGTCATTCAGTGATCCTGTAAAAATAAAACGAACAATAATACTAATGAGATATTATTATTATTATTATTATTATACCAATTCTACTAATAAGAACAATATAAAAACGCACTAAGGATTAATGAGCTACCGGATTCATGAATATTAATCAGGTTGTGTGCGTTTGCTC